TAGATAGATAGATAGATAGATAGATAGATAGATAGATAGATAGATAGACAGACAGAGAGAGTGATAGAGAGAGAGAAAGATGGTTAGGGGACTGGGGGCTAAGACATATGAAGAACAGTTGCTGGAATTGGGTTTTGTCCAGTTTAATAAAAAGAAGGACCGGGGAGACAAGATAGCAGCCTTCCAATATTTGAGGGGCTGCCCCAAAGAAGAGGGCAGTCAAGTTATTTTCCAAAGCACCAGAAGGCAGGAAGAAGTAACAGGTGGAAGATCGTGAAAGAGAGAAGCAACCTGAAACTAAGGACAAATGGAAACAGTTAGGTTATCAAACGCATCCCGGGCATTGTAATAATTAATGGGCTCATTGGAAATACAAATTTCCAAAAAATAATAGTCCATAATTTTGCAGGGAACCGAAACAAACCAGAGCTCCATCCTTTCCCCTAAGACCGCAGGCGGGCAGTCTCTTTTCTCCCTGAACTACATTTCCCATCGTGCCCTTAAGCTCCTTCCTGCCGCCTCTTCTCCCGCCTCTTCCTGCCGGGGGAGGGAAAGAGGCTCCTGATTGGCCGACACCGTCGAAGCGGGCCAGAGGCGGCTGCAGGCGGGAGATGCGGCCGCCAAACTGAAGGAGACCCCGCGTCGCCTCAGGGTGCTGAAGCCCCGCCCACTCAGCCCCCCCTTCCTTACCCAGCCCCCCCAATTTATGGGAAAGGGTGGGCTCCCTTTCCCCCCCCGTCTCCTTTCCCTTGCCAGGCTGAAGGGGGGGCTCTATTCAAGCCCCTTTTGTACTTAAGGGGGTCTCCAATTACAATTGGGGGACCCCTCCCCTTTTTTCCACAGCCCCCCCTCTTCGAGGCTGACCCCCTAGGGGCGTCTCCCCGATTTTAGATCCCTTTCCTCCCCCCTCCCAAAATTAGGAATTCTTCCCCTTTTTTTATTTTAAAGCCCACCCCCCAATCTCTCCTGGGTTGGAAATAATTAGCTTTTTATTTTCATAATTCCTGCCAATTAATTGGAATTCATGATTCCAACGCTTATTAAAGGATAACTGTATTTTTTTTTATAAGACGTTAAATCGGGGCTAATTGCAACTTTCCAGCTTTTTTAATACATATTTTTTAATACATATTTTTTTGGGGGGGGGAGTAGCTCCCCGAGATCAGTGTGAACTTTAAAGATCCTCTTCCCCCCCTTTTTGAAATGCAACACTTCCCCTTAAAAGAAGGAGACTTTTTGAATTATCTTTTAGATATTTTTGATTGGGGGTTTATTTTGGGGTCCCCCGTTGCTCCCCGCCTTTCTGTATGGGGACCCCCCCTCTTTCTCTGGTCTCCAAATTTTCTTTTCAATGCATAATTTTTATGATGCAATTTAGTATACTGTTTAGTTTTCTTTTTTTCTTGCTCTGCTTAATTTGGGGGTGCTTCAATCATTTTGGAGGGGGACTTTTATAATGTGCATTTCATGCACTCATTTTTTATACTTATTTATATAATGAAAGGAGGGGTTTTTTTTTGGATAGGACTGTATGTAATGCAGCTTGCTATAAAGTCTTTTTGTTTTTCCTATGTAAATAAAAATATATTTTTTTAAAAAAAAACCTCTGTATTTCAGTTCCTGTAACAGAATCCTCTGGGTCAGTTCCTCCTCTGTGAAGTTGGACCATGGTGAATTTTTCTGAACTCTTTAAAGCCTCCAACCACTTGTGCAAATTTTCCCCGGATGGGAAATACGTGGTAAGCAGACGTTTGTGGATTCAAATTATGCAGTGTTGATTTGGTTGTGTGCCTTTTTTGCTCGGGGAATCCTTATGCTCCTCCTTCTGCCAATTCATGCTGGGGTGTGCGTTTGGTTGAGGCGTTGCATTCAATCCTGGTTTGCTTAATGCTGGTTTGTTGGCCTTGCTGTGGTTTGTGCAATAAGGCTCAGTAAAAAATAATAATAATCATAATTTATGCAGGACCTTACAGTGCCCCTAATTTCTTGGGGTCAGCCTTGCAAGTTGAGACTGGATGGAGCAAAATTCTGAACACCTTGAGAGTTAATGATAGAAATATCTGGGATTTTTAAAGATAAGTCGGGAATCTCTCTTTTATGGTAATTCAGGATTAAGCTGTATTTAAAATTATAATTTTCAGGCTTCTGGGGTGCAGTACCGGTTGGTGATCCGAGATGTCAGCACTCTTCAAATTCTGCAACTGTTTACCTGCCTGGATCAAATACAGCACATTGAATGGTCTTCCGATTCTCTATTTATCTTTTGTGCCATGTATAAACGTGGCATTGTCCAGGTGCGTATCTAGGGGTTTTGCAATATATCTTGTCCCTCATCTATCTATATAAAAAGTGAAATGCCACTCATTGCACCATCACAGAATCTCCAGAACCGCAAAGTCTACAAACTTGAAATCTGTTCCTTTTGGTTCTAGAGGCTCACTAAGAAAGGATTATTTTCCGAAATGACCATCAGAGCATTTAGAATATTTCTATTATTATTACAAGCAGAGGAGTTTCAGTTTCAGTTTTACTTTCACAGCACCAAGCAGCTTTAGTACAGAACAGTTGAGCTAAGCCACGCCCAGGCTCCTTGCTGTCTCCTTGCTCACACAGCAAATACTCTTTCAGTTTCCAAACAGCCCTCCACTCTCTCACACACACCGACAGGACGCTAGCCAGGTGAATACTGATGGATGCTGGTAGGCAGAGGCAGAATGTTTTTCTCCCCTTAGTTTCCCCCCCCCCAAAAAAAAAACGAAGCCCGACCCCATAGTTTCAGTAGTGAAGCACGGGGATCGAGCTAGTATTAAAAATAATAAAAATAAAGCTTGCCTTGGGAAGCAGAACTGAAAGGGTGTGCATGGGTGGGTGGGTGCGGGGGGGAAACAATGGCTTAAACAACTGGTGGGAAAAATCAAATTTTTGGAGTCAATTCCAAGGAGAAAAGGGAGGTAGAGCCCTCTCGTGGAAAGAGAGGGGACGGGTTGCTTTTTTAAAAAAATGAGAAAAAGTCCCACATTTTTGCAAATTTTGAAAAAGTCTTTCCCATGGGAAGATGGCTGGCTGGCTGGACAGGCATTCAGCGATTGTGCCCAAGGATTCTGCCTAATCCTCGACGTAACGCCAGTTCATTTAGGGACGGAGGTTACAACGGCACTGAAAAAAAGCGACTTATGAGCATTTTTTCCCACTTAACCATCGTAATGTTCCCCCTCCCCCCCCTCCCGGTGATCAAAACTCAGATGGTTGGCCACTGACTCGCATTTATGACAAGTCGCAGTGTCCCTGGAGTGTGTATGTGTGTGTGTGTGTGTGTGTGTGTGAGAGAGAGAGACGATCCCCTTTTGCAACTTTCGGACGAGCAAAGTCAAAGGGAGGAAATCGGATTCACTTAACGACCGCGGGACTTGTTTAAGAACAGCAGCTTAAAAAAAAACGTGGCAAGAAGGATCGTAAGACGGGGACCAAACCCATTTCTCACCTAGCAACGTCAGTATTGGGCTCGTTACGGTTTAATAATAATAAAAGATATTAAACATTTGTTATAATAATGAACATAGATAAAAATAAAGGGATGTTTCATAGAAAGAGAGGTTAAAAAAAAAAACGGCCAGGAAACTGTAGGAAAATCCACGCGGTCCTAAATTTTTCTGCTCCAAAGATAACAAACCTTTGCACAATATCTGTCAGCGTTCAGTTGATCTAACATTTGGGGTGGGGGGGTGGGAGAAAGGCCCCCGTCCTGCCTCTTTAAAAAAAAGGCCCAAAATGCCTCTTTATTTATCACTAGTCCTTGACTTATGACCACAATTGGGACCGTCACTAAGTGAGCCTTTTGCAACCTTTTAACAGCGGTCATAAGGAAATTGGGTTTTGTCCATTTCTTTGCCAAAAGGGACCACGTGACATGCATGTAAACACGGTGCCAGTTGCCAATTCCTAACCTACAACTGGTTGCGGGCCATTTCCCCCCCTCCCCCAGCCCCGTCCTAACTCTGGGACGGCCACTAAACAAACCGTCGTAAGTTGAGGACCGATGGGGCTTTCTGCAAAAGAGAGAGAGAGAGAGAAAGAAAAGAAAATGTACTTTTGTAGCGGGCTCCAGCAACAGTCCTTCATGATCGCGTTGGGAAACTGAAAATTGTACAATCCTAGGGGGATCTCAGAGGTCGTCTAGTCCAACCCCCTCTCCAGGGCAGGGTTATTTAGACGCTGGATGTTTCGCGCGGCTGGCTTGGCTACCTTCTCTTCCCTTTTAGGTCTGGTCCTTGGAACAGCCCGAGTGGCACTGCAAAATCGACGAAGGCTCAGCCGGGCTGGTGGCCTCGTCCTGGAGTCCCGACGGGCGTCACATTCTGAACACCACCGAGTTCCACGTGAGTGGGTGAAAATGTGGGGTCTCCTCCCTCCCTCCAAGAGCTCCCGACGCTCCCGTCCGCCTCTGAGCCCCCTAAAATAGCTTTAAAAAAAAAAAGAGAGAGAGAGAGAGAGGAACAGCTGGAGATCTAGGATTCGGGGGAGTTGTAGGAAAGTATTTCCCTAAAGTTAATTAAAGCAGCCAAGTTTGGTTCTTCGGGAAGGGAGCTTCTCTTCCCTGCTCCAAAGCGCCTTAAGGTGACCCGTCTTCCTTCTCAATCGACAATATCGACAGCACAGAAAGAAAATTTTGTCCCAGATGTTTGATAGATGGCATTCATTGCCCAGGAAAACTAGCGAGAATGTTCAAAAGATAAAAGCAACTAAGTGTTGGAAATGTCACCACCAAACACCGGGAACCTATTATCCTATGTGGTGGACTTGTTATAGAAGCTAAAAGATATTGGACTAAAATACACTCATGGTTGTGGGGGGGGAAAAAATGATTAAACAACCTATAGATTTGAAGCCCGAAATATTTTTTTTAATTAGGAATTGGGGACCTGAAGGTTACAGTAAAGAAGATACCCAGCTCAAGCAAGAAACCCTATAGCATTTCAGACAAAATAGTTGTGTAATCTCTTCTTAAAAGCCTCCAGTGACGGAGCGTTCACAACTTCTGGTGGCAGGCTGTTCCACTGGTTCCTTTGTCCTCATTTATCGGGAAATTCCTCCTTAATTCCGGGTTGTTTCTCTCCTGGATTCATTTCCATCCGTCGTTTCTTGTCCTGCCCTTCAAGTGCTTTGAAGAATAGCTTGGCTCCCCGCCCCCGCCCCCCTTCTTTGGGGCGCCCCCCCCCAAAAAAAATATTGGAACCTGGCTATCCTGTCCCTCCCGCTCCTTCTTTTCATGAAACGAAACCTCCCCAATTCCTCCTATGTTCGACCTTCCAGCCCCTTCCATCCTCTCCATTGCTCTTCTCTGCCCTCTTTCCGGGGTCTTTGGAAGGGGTGGGGGGTTTGGGGGGGTGGCAGATAGGGACAGACGGGGAAATATTTCCTCTCGGGCTCGCCTCCAGCCAGCTGCCGTGGCCGCGTGGGTAGACTTACTTTGGGACCGTAAACAAGAGGACTATAATAATAACTTAGACCGACAGCTGGCGGGGATAACCCGGGATTTGAACCGGTGGCTGACGGGCACCCTGGATCCATCATCCGATGTCAGAGGTGCTGGGAGAGGATTACGGTTTGCGGAGAAGCCCCTTAACGTCTCTCGGGCATGCCACACACACACACACACACAAAATTGAATTGATTGGATGGCAGGTTGTCCTTGAATTACGGCCGCCGCTCAAGCGAGGAAGTGTGCGAAGGGAGTTTGGTCCCCGGGTTACGACTTTCCTCGACCCTTTTCTTGAAGCGAAGCGTCGCCGTTCTTTAAATTAGCCCTCACACGTCGCTAAAAGCGAATTTAATTCCCCCTCGTCGCAAAAGGAGGATCGTGTGATGCCATCATAAATATGAATTCGTTGGCGGGCGTCCGAATTTGGACCTTGCGACCCCCGCGGATGCCTCAGCCATCGTAAGTGTGAAAAAGGGGTTGTAAGTCACATTGTTCGGGGCCGTTGTAACTTTGAACAGCCGCTCTACGGGCAGGTAGTCCTCAACTTACAACGGTATGTTCAGTGACCGTTCAAACGTACGACGGCCTTGGAAAAAAAGAGGGCCCTTCGCTGTTTTTCGGACTTAACGACCGTCGCGGCTTCCCCGGCAGTCATAGGATTTACATCGGGATGCTTGACAACTGACTCACATTTACGACGGTGGCTGTGTCCCGATGTCACGTGATTTCCCTTTTTCACGACCTTCTGACAAGCAAAGTCAAGGGGGAAGCCCGATTCGCTTTACGACCATGTGACTTAATTTAACAACCGCTGTGATCCACTGAAGAAGAGTCGTGCAGTAGCCTAGAAGGCGAGCTCTCGCCTCACAATCAGGAGGCTGTGAGTTCGATCCTGGCTAGAGGCAGATCTTTCTCTCTCTGGGCACGATAAGAATATATCTGCTGTGGGGGAAAAACTCCACTCTGGCAACAGGAAGGGCATCTGGCCAGGAAAAACACTTCGCTCCCTTCAGTTGCCCATTCTCCATTCCGATTATGGGGTCATTAAAAGGAGACGAATGAGCGATCCACTTAAGAAACGTGGTGAAGAAAGCCGTAAAGCAGGGCAAAACTCACAAATTTCCTCGCTGGACAACATATATTTGGGGCCGAAATGCAGCCGTAAGCTGAGCACAGTTGTGTGGCTTCCGTGGCATGTTTACAGCGGCCATTTTAACTCCTCTGGCACCCATGGACAGGCCAGGGAGTGGTCTGCAGTGAGAGGCCTGAAGTAAGCCATGGTGGTTTCTTATTGTGGTTTGCGGCTTAGTGGTTAGATGGAGCCACGTGGAGGGAAAACAGAGGCACCTCCATCTGGCTGGGAAGCCACGTGGGGTCTGTGGTGGCCTGACGGAGACATCAAATCTACCCTCGAAGCTCCCAGATTCCAGCTTGGGTGAAAATTGATGTTTGCCACCAATCTGATCGGGGCTTGTCGTAACTTGCTGCCCTAAATCGCATTTAAAAGGCCTTTTATTTTCCCTTTTTTTTTTTTTTTTTGCAAATGGTGTTTCGCATCCATTCAGGGCCGCGAAAGAAGGAATTAACGCATTCGTTTTAGACTTTCTTCGGATCCTCGTCCCGCTGTTTTTGGGGAGCGAAGAAAGCCGGGACGTTTCCCAGATCGCCTCAGCCACAATAGTTGCGTAGCTGCCGTGCAGTTTTCCAATGAATGCAAGATGGAGATAATAACTGCAAGCGTCTTTGGGGGGGGAAATGAAGGACAAACGTTTAAAAAGGGGCAAAGATGATAGAATAATAGGGCGGGAAGAGACTATATCTATTTATATCTACCTACCTACCTATCATCTATATCTATCTTTCATCGATCTATATCTATCTACCCATCTATCATCTATCTATCCCATGTATATCTACATATCTGTCTGTCTTCCTCCCTCCCTTTTGTCTTTTCGTCCTATCCATCCATCCAGCTATCTAGCTATCTATTTTCATCTATCCTATCTATATCTACATATCTGTCTATATCCATCTATCTCCCACCTATCTCTCTTTCTCTGTCTGTCTATCATCTATCTATCCTATCTATATCTACATATCTATCTATATCCATCTATCTATCTTCTATCTATCCTATCTATATGTACATATCAA